AGTATAGACCTGGAAGCTGGCCTGGTGTCAAGATCTCTGGAAAAGGTACCCTGTGGTGCTATTCACCCTCATCTCACTGTTTTGTGTGAAAATCTTTTATCTGGGAGTCAGAGGATCACAAATGACTGAGAAGCTATGTGTTCTTCATCGCTTTGCTTGCGATGGCTGCAGTCTGTAAATCCTGTTAGAAATCTGTGGTTTTTGTGTGGCTTCCTTTTAAAGTCTGATTTCTTGAAAAACGTGTTTTGTTGGGCAACAGGTCAACCCAAATAAGGCCCGGCAGTGCTTGTTTACTCTGTCTTCAGTTCGTAAACTGTGGTAGTGCTTTGGTTTATAAATCCTTGATGCTTCCATCCTCCTGTGAGCAAAGCATACTGGTGTTGCTTAGCTGAACAAGGTTGGTCCCACTGCTTGGAAGAGATGTGACCCAGCTTTAGGTGAGGAAGTTCATGTAGTGATAGCAGCATAGCTCTGGCAGACCCCATGCTGCCATAAGCAAGCACTGACTAATACATACTATGATGGAGCCAGCTTTCTCAGCTGAAAGTGGATCCCGTCTAGCTGGGAGCTATGGTAAGGCCTCTCTCGGCAGCGTGGACCTGTCCTGCGTATGAAGTGCTCTTGCTCATGCACCTGAGCCTGAGGACCTGAAATAGTTTCCTGCATAGAAGTTTGGTTTTCTGGATATTTTGAGTTTCAGTCATCTTTGAGAATGGAGTGTTTGGCACCTTTGAGGTTTAGCTGGTTCACTGCGCGTGTCTCTTCAGTTAATTTTGTAGGGCCAGTGCAAAGCTGCGTGGGCACACAGAGTTCTCTTGTAGGGTTATGAGGCTGTCAGATGGTGATTCACATTACCTTTTGTTGTTCCCTGATTTCTAGAGAATTTGTCTTGTACTCCCTGTTGTTTGCATTTTTAGGGTTAATTTATTTGTCTGGCATGTTTTGGAGCTGATTTTGAAAGCTCTAGACAGGGAGAGGAGGCAGGGCCAGCTGGAACAGAGCATACAGGAGGGGCCCTACCAAACTGTCAGTGGCTTGGAAGGCAAAAGCTCTCTGGTGCCAGATCTCTCAAATTTATTATATGTAATGTAGTTATGGCCTCTGCTGGAAAGATCTGCTGCCTTTATGTCATCTGGGTGGAAAGAAACACACAGCATGCATATACCCTTCCTTGCACAATGCCCTTGCATCTATGATAAGGTACATCATGTTCAAGCAAGAAAATTGGTTTCTGGTCATAGCTGATGTCTGTTAATATTTTTATGCCTCTTAAAACTGTGATTTCCAACAGCCCCTGCTACCATTGTAGAGGAGATGATTCTCGTTTATCTGCTTCACAGAAAAAGAACTAAAAAGCTGGTACAAGGTCACTCCAGAGAATAGAGGACTATGATAAAACAAGATGCTATAGCTCCTATGCCATGGCATGAAACTCTGCTGAGGATATTTTTTTCCCTTGCTGGTGTGCAGGGTTGTGAGTAGAAAGTTCTTGGTAATCGTTAAGTGAACAAATCAGGTCTGTGAGCACAGTGATTCATGTCTTCAAAGTTAGAGATTAGAGGGTTGGTTAGTCCTTATGGATGACCTAAGCATGGATCTTGTTTTATTTGGCCAGACTCTCTGTCTGCTGGAAAATACAAACATGCCTGTATACATTATTTTAAAACATGACTAGGGGGGCATTTGGTGTTGACCCTTCTATTTAAATGGGCTGGCATTTTCCATCCAAAAATTGTGATCTTACGCTAAGGAGCTCTTAAAACTTCCATTGTTTGCAGTAGGCTGTTGACATTTGGTAGGGGAAGCACCATCAGAGAACAAAGTGCCTTTTTATGTTCCACTAAATTAGATTCAGCTTTGAAGGAGATATAAACTGTTAAAATGAACTAGTTATTTTTTCCTGCTTTCATTCTTCAGGAAAACTCTGGCACGCTACCAAAAAAAAAGTGCCTCCAGTGCTGGACCTGCTGTAAGTATTGCAGCAGCGAGGACAAGAGCTGTGGTGTTAAGAGCTGTCAGAGCAGCTGTGGCAACAGCTGCAGTAGAGTCTCCAAGAGCCCAGGACATGTTCTCCTGCCTCACGGCCACTCTGCTTTCTTCTGGGGAACTTCATGGAGGAGGAAACCCCTCCCCAGCAAACCTCAGTTCAGCAGTTGGCCCGTTTTGTATCTGTTCCTTCTCTCCCAAGCAGATCCTTCCCTCCTGCCTCTTCAAACACCCACAACTCCTAGGAAGCAACAAGGTTGGGGCAGTTTGTGTGGGTGGGTGTAGTCCATTGCAGTAGATGTCAAGCATGTGCTCGCTGCAGCCGCAAGATTTGCTGATCTTAACTCTGCCATCTAGGAAACAATGTACCTCCATCATCTCCAGGGCAGGAGGCAGCCCTGCCGCCCTCTCATGGAGCTGTGTCAGACCACTTGTATTCAGTGTTGCCGCCAGCTTTTTGTCAGCCACAAAAAAAAAATTAAACACACAGGACAGGATTTCCTGTTGGTGTGGAAACCTTGTGTGGGGAGCTCAGCCGAACAGGGCTGGCAGGCGGTGCTGGCAGCAGCACCCGAGGATCCAGGCCCAGCTGGGTGTGGAGAAAGGGGAAGATGGCACGGCATAATTGTGCACTAGAAGCTGCACAGTTTGTTCTCTTCCAAGATGATCCTAATGAGGTAGAAAATGGTGATTTTTTTTTGATGGCTTTGAAGATTCTGAAAATAATTTTGGCATTTGCATTTATCGAGAGCCTGGCTGTTGCAGTGTATGTAGCAAGGCGAGGCAGCTGAGCTGATCTGGAAGGAACGGATCCTGCTCTCAGACAAGGTGTGCTGCTTTCCACTCTCTTTTGCTTCTCAGAGCCTTAATGCTCACCTGACCCTTTCAGCCACTTCAGATCAGTAAATCGTCAAAAACTTTGTATTTATTCCTTTTGTTGAGTGAGTTTTTCACAGGATTGGTGAGCTGTATCAGTTTATGTAGAGGTGAGAATGAAAAGTGGGGACAGCTTTAGGAAGCTGGTGAGACCAGGCAAGGGAGGACCGAGGGAGCAGGGAGAGCCCTTCAGCAGCTCCGAGCTGTTAAATTGGTTCAGCCCCTGTCATGTAGCAACACTGAAGTAGTCTACGGAGAAAGCAATCACGACTGATTTCTTTCATGGCAGTGCCCAAGCCATGTGCAACAAAGACAACAAAAAGCAATCAACGGCTAATCTCCTTTATAGACAAGCCCGCACCAACCATGGGATAGAAATAGAAAATGTATTTTAGCTGTGATTGGCACAACACTGGTCAAAAGAAAATCCAGCATGGATCAAGCCTAAGCTGTTGAGATGTTGAGGATTCAAGGAAGATGCGTGTTTACATTAGCGTTATTCAAACTTTGTGTAACTGGGATATTGTGAATTCAGTTGTTTTTGGGATGAATAGGAGATCAAGCATTGTCCTTAAACAATAGAACATTAAAAACAACATCTGTGAGCTGACATTTGTAAAAGAATACGACTATCTACTTTTTAAGAATGGAGAATGGAGACAGACAGAAACGATAGCTAAAATTGTTGGAAACGTTTTATTTGCTTAAAGACAGTCGTGGAATACATGTTCAACGGAATTAATAGCTTTTTATTGCTTTGCATATTCAGAGCTTCTCCTCAGTCATCACGGCCCACTGCTGGAAATGTTCTGTGTTTGCAGATCTGGCCACAAGTCTTTCAATCAGGGCACCCAGAAAATGAGCACTGTACCCATTTGACTCCAAATGGAAATGTTAGTTTAAAAAAATTGTAAATATTATATTAAGAGCACTGTGGCAAATTGAAGAGTGTCTTAGTGCCCAGAGGCTGTGTTCATCGTCTTCCCTAACCATGAAACCATCCTTTCTTTTCTTGTTGACCCTTCCTTCATTTGCTACCACCTTTAAATCTTCTGCAAGCAGTGAGATCAAAGCCATGCTGGTGGAAGCTTTTGTAAATAATGGGGTAGGAAAAACACTCAGATATAGCATTTGTCTGAGCACAGTATGCATCTCTAGAATGACGAGTGTTATGTATATATGCTCCTCTGGGGCTCTGTTGAAGTGGTGATGCCTTTGCCTATAAGTTACTGGTTTGAATTGGTTCAATAAAAATAATCTTTATGTTCTGTGGTGAAGGATGTGATTCATGCATGGTTCCACAGAGTGTGGTTATTTTCCTTTCTAGCTTGTAGCTCTTATTTCCCATTTGTGCTCTGTGTGAAGTAGGGAGCTCTTTGGAACCAGTTGTTGAAACAGTGCAGTGTGTTGGGGCCCTGCTCTCCTCGGGGTCTCCAGGCAGAGACAGGGTCTGGAATGGTATCACAGGTGATAAACCTGAATAGGTTATGGACAGCCTGCTGTATGTCACGGGCTGAAGTTGAATGATCTTTTTTTCTCAAAAACAAACTGTTGGGGGTTGGCCATTTTAATGATTTATGAATCTGCCATCCATTCTTTAGAAGGCTTGGAGTTTTTGGAAATTGCGGTGAAAAGGAAAGAAGATTCAGGGTTTGGAATCCCTGAGGTTGGGAGTCTTGCATGACTATATCCCTTCCAGAGAAACATAATCACTGTTAAGTTTCTCTTTCTGATAGCCACTTCAGAAGAAGATGAAATGCTGAATTACGTTTGAGAAATGTTGTTAGATGTCCGAGATGAAATCGTATAACCATGTCTTAGATGAAATAGTAGAATAAGAGAAGAATGAATTGTTTAGATTAAAAGGGGGGGAAGAAGAGCTACCTCAAATCCCTAGAACTCTTCTGGAGGTTGTGTTTCTTCCTTTAGACTTTTGTGAGAGAACCTGGGGTCTGTGACCAAGAGGATCCGCTTGTCCTAACCTGAGAGAACTGGGTCACGTCATTAGGATTTTATGCCTTTGCCTGTGTGCTAGAAATGGAAATAGTCTTACCTCTCTTCTTGCAGTAGCACCTAAAAGGTAGGAAAAATGGATTTGAAAAAAGTAATTTTTTCCCCCCTCCCTTGTCTCTCTGCAGCAATTCGGCAAAATCCTTGATGTAGAGATAATCTTTAATGAGCGTGGCTCCAAGGTAAGTCCTGTTTCTGTACCCGCTTCTCTTGTTTTGATTGCAGAGTAAAAGGCAGTTCATTGCCTAGAGAATATACTCTGTAGAGATCAGAGTGATGGGGGAAGGGAAGAGCTATTTTGGGGACTGTCTCCTGTTCCCTCCGACTCCAGACTCTGAGCATGGTCATTTCTGGGCAGCATGTACAAATGCTCCTAGACACTCCTGTCTGTGGTATGGGATCAGGTTTCCCAGCCTTTTGAACGAACAGGGAGGCAGTCACTTGAGCCTTCATACCAGCCCGTTCCCATTGCACTCGCAGTGGGTGCTCTGTGGGTAAGACAGAATTAGGTAAAACAGCTTTGTGTGCTGGGAGTCTGTAAGAACAAAGCCTGAGGCACCCACCCCCCCCAACCGCACTTTTGTTGCATTAAAACACTTCTGCAGAAAAACTGTCATATCTCATATGTGAAAGGATTTTATTTACTCTATCTTGCAGACTTGGCACTTCTGAGATACTGACCTTTCATGTTTGAGATCCTTGATGCTTTATATAAGCATCCTCATTCCCCTTGTCCGGCCCCATGTGGACCTCTCCCTACTGAATTTGCATTCATACGCCTATTTTCATCTTAAAGATAGATTAAGAGGGAGGTTTTGTGGAGCGTTAATAGTAATTTATTTCTCTGGAGATGAGATTTCAAATGTTGCTCAGGTCAGCTGCAGAGAGATTCAGTGATCTTTGTCCTAATTGGCAATTGGTTCTCATCACGTAACCAGTATCACCACAATGACAAATTGATGTGATTCTCTCTCTGCCCAGGAGGTTCAGCACTGGAATAGCAGGGAGTTTTGCAGGTCAGGAGCGAGGTGCATTGCCAAAGCTCTATGGGGGAAGCTTGCACAGTGCATGTCTATACTCTGCTTGACTTAATCAATGCTAAGATTCCCATTTTCAATTAAAACAAAATTTCCCTCCTCCCCCCACACACGTGTGCGCACATGTGTGCATGCACACAAGAGATTTTGGAGTTGCAATTCAGCTAAGCAGTTTTGGTTTAGAGTCTGTGCCTTTCGCTTGGATTTGAGGTTCACAGTCTTAAGGTGGCCTCTTTGCTTCAACATATATTCCGGGGTATGTTCACGTTCAGAGCCCTCTGCAAATTACCGCCCATGTTGCCCGAGATGCATTCGGAAATTCTTCAGTCTCTGTATTAGCTGGAAACCAGAAAACGGTTGATCTATATACAAAAGAAATGAATGTTAGTCCTTTCGCCGTCCTTTCTTTGTTCGTAATACCATGGTTTTGTTTTTGTTTTTTAATAAGGCAGCCTGAATAAGTAAATGTCTATATGGCTTAGTTAGAGAGCTTTACTTCCCAGAGTGGATAAAAATCTATACGCTTTACCAAAACAATCAACTATGCCGAGTTTGTAAATATTTATTCTGTTCTCTGCTGTTCTCCTGATATTTATAGGCCAGAGCTATCTGTGAATTAGTTTTGATTTCAGTCATTTCTATTTGGCTTTGGGAATAGCCTCTGGCCTCTATCAAATCCCTGCTTGTTTGGATGTAATTGCAAAAGAAAGAACGAAAATAACTGGCCTGGCAAAGTGGTGAGCTCTATCCTTCATCCCCCACTGCCTGTGCTTTCCAAAACAGTGCTTTCCTCTCCGCACATGAACTTCTCTCTCTCTCTCTCCCATCCATCCAGCCCTGTATTAAACGCCCACGGCTGCCCTTTCCCTTCTAGGCAACACTAACGTTGGAGGCTTTCTGTGAAAGCCTGATTTATGACTATGAAAAGTACCTTCTTGTGCGGTTGGTAAAGCCCCAAGGCTTCTGGTTTTCAGTTAAAACAGAAAATATTGCTGAAGAGTTCCTTGACTGATTTTATCCTGAACCCTTAATATATGAAAAAAGAAAGCGATCCAGAGAGATATCCTTCCAGTCCTTGACCATGCAGTTTTCTACTGCTTTTTTGTCGTCTTACGGCAAAAAGCAGTTGCAAAACTGATAGCCTGTATGAGGGATGGGGCAGAATCTGAACAGAATGAGAAAACACCCGAAGAGTAACTTTGTGGTATCTTTGCATCCTTGTTTACCCCAAATAATTCCTTTTTTAAAAAGAATGCAAGATTATTCCTGCTTAGCATGAAAATGGGAGGCCCCAGTGTTTGAGTGGGGTGTAGCTGCACGAAGCACCTGGTATTCACATAATAATGGAAAAGCAACAGTTTGGTGATCTGATGGTGAAGCAAAGGAAATAGATCTTTCTGGAGGCCACTCACTCACTCTTGGGTTCTTCCTCCACCTTAGGAAAAAAAAATCTGAATGCATTTTCCTGCCCTGTGGTTTCCATTCTAATCTAATGATATGAAACCTCTCTCTCTTCTTCTCCTCCTCCTCCTCCTCCTCCTCCTCTCTCTTGGGAATCCGAAAGCAGATGCTCCTGCTGCCTGCCTTGTGCTGTGTTCTCAATGCTCCCTTCCCTTCCCTGGGTTCCTAAGGGTTGTAGAGTTCTGTGTATCTGTTTCTTGTAAATATTTAAAAAGTACAGGGGTAAATCCCAAACTGCCCTGGGTTCGCCCCCACCCAGCGTACGATGGGGTTGAGCAGCGCTTTGTCCCTGCCGAGCTGCGGCAGGAGATCTCTGCTGCGATGGCTCCAGTGCTGGTCGGTAGGAGGGACTGGAGGAAGGAAGTGTGTGGGTTGCATTCTTCCTTTTGAATCCACCTGAGATGACCAGGCAGTTTTCTTCCACGGCCTGGGGGAACTATATCAAACGGGCTGCATCTTCAGGATCTCGGGGTATTTAGGCAGTTTGGTGACCAACGGGAGAGCAGCGTGTGTCCATCACGGCCGCCTCGCACCTCAGATTCTTGCGTTTTGCTTAAGAAATGTTTCTTGTTGACTTCCTCTATCACAGCAGAGTAGGAGGCAGTTAGTAATTAGTTTTGCTGGTTCTCCTCTCAAAACAACATGAATTCTGGTTTCATAACACAATTTCTGCCTAGATTCAATCTATTTAGTAGGATTATATGAACATGTGTAGCCTTTACACTGATACAGCTTTGCTACGTATGGGAAACCAGATACAAAATTTAAACAACCCTTGAATTTAATTTTGCTTTATTCTTGCTTAATAGAATGACACCAGTCTTCCCTTGACGCGTTTGGGTTTTGTTGCTTGCTTCCAGGAAACTGGCTGTTTGTTTCAATTCTCCTGTTTACCATTACATTTCTAGTTCTGACCCACATAAGTGCCTTTAAATAGCATTCTGCTCATGGTTGCAGTTTACCGTGCACTCCACTGAACCGTGAATAAAACACCTCCAGAGGAAGTCGAGAGAGAGGATTCCTGCTCCTTTTGTTAGTGGAGGTGCATCCTCTGGATGCATATTTTGGCACTGTTGTGCTGAACCAAGGAAGTGGACATATTTGCAGAATTAATGCAGTCTGCCTGCGTAACAAGTACCCTGTGGCATTCATAAAGCTGCAGGGGAAGGGAATCCAAGCTCTTTGCTCATCGGCTGCGTACCATGTGGCATTCCAAGATGTGCCCTCGATGACATTCAGAGACCAAGAATGCGTAAGCACGCAGCAAAATCTTGGCTGAAGAGGGAGCATTTTTTTAGATTTTTAAATGGTAAGAGTTCACGTTAGTGCAGGCTGCGAGCTCGTGGTTTCAGGGTAGCGTAAGTTTATGTCCCTCGCTGCCCTTGGGAGAACTGACTCTCCCAAGTTCTTGCATAGGACTAAAGTGTCTAGAACCGCTTCACATTTAATTAAAAAATTGGTTGTATAGTAGCTTACATCTTGTCTTCACAAAGAAACTGCATCTATTGGTGAGTGGAATTCTGTAAGTAAACCTGTGCTAACTAAAAACCTGCACAGAAAGCTGTGTGGAAACATTTGGTGTTTTTTTTAATGTTTGCAGTTAACTGTAGGCTAAAATAAGAATATGAATTTAGGTTTTGATAACTGTGCGTAAAAGACTGTATGTTTGCACGTGTATTTATTTCTTCTTTGAATGGATTAGGTGCTTTGAGTTGAGCCACTCTTGTTCTGGACTTAGTTTCCACTCAGTGAGATAGATACAACCCCCTGTTACGTAAAATAAATTAGAGGTCTTGTTTTCATTTTCATTCTGTTTTTATAATTATTGTTCAGATGTCATCTGTTGAGCCCGAAATACAAATAGTGTTATTAACACAAAGAGGCTTAATAACAAATTAAGTACCAGTGACCAGCGTCGCTTTCTCAGGTCACCAAATCCCTTTACAATGCCAGTGGCATGAAGGAGATGTGACCTGTGTCCCTTTATCCTAGCTCAGTGAAGTATAGTTTTATGCCTTCAACTCTGCGATACTAAACTAATGAGTTAAATTAGTCCATACACTGAACTGGTTTATTTAAACTTGAATAATTAAGGCTGAAGTTGATGGCTTGATAGCATAAGCTGATTCACTGCTCCTGTGGGAGTGCCTTCCCAGTAGTGCTCGTTTCCCTGTGCAGTTGAATCCAGGGTGCTAAATTAGCAAAAATCTGATGCAGGAGGGAGAGAGAGAAATGAGTTTATCTTCTGCCCATTTAGCTAGTTGAACTTATAGACCACACAGTAAAATCCATGATCGATCGAGGGGAGAAGGAGGAGCATGCAAGCAGGGACAACATGGGGCTGTGAAGCCCCTGATCTGAGTTGGCTGGAGCTGCTCGAAGCCCCAGGCTCTCGCTGTGCCCAGGCTCGCACCCGGGTTTTGCAGGAGGGATTGGCAACGGAGCAACAAAACAAGCTGGACTGGGGAAATGATCCAGCTTAAAAATAGCCCTGCAGGTGTTTCTGAAGATTCATTTGTGGCTTTTTAGCCAGATTATTCCCTGCATCTGGTTCACCACATTGCGCAGGTATACGGACACGTGCTTTATGTGCCTGTGCCTCAGTGTACTCAAAGTGTGGCAGGGAGGAGCTGGAAGAGCTGCTGAAACGGGGGCAGCTTGGTTTGCACTGACTTCCTCACCAATTTATAGTGTGCATTTGAGTCTGTAACTTCAATAATGTGCTTCTGAATTTCGTGCTATGTTCATGTCAGTGCATTCAGTCCTGCTCATCTCAGGTGGATTATAGCTGAAACCCTCCTACTCTCTCCAAATGCTATGGAAAAAGGTAGCCTAAACTGCTGTATCCTTGGCTGTTTTTTCAGGCTCCTAAAAGTTTGTTTATTGTGAAAATAAGGTGGGAGGGGGAAGAAAAAAAGGTGGTTAAAAACGAGCACGGCAGCAGATGATGGCAAGGCCGGTTGCTGGGTGCATGCTCCAGTGGTACAAGGCAAAGACGCTGCTGCTGAGGTGACTGGTCTAAACTCTGACAAACGAAGGGTTAACAATGCATGGATTTCAAGGGGCTCTGTTTAGTTTCCTTTCGTTTTATTTTCTTTTTTTTTATTATTTTACTTTATTTTTTGTTGTTGTTTTTTTTTGTTTAATTTCTGTGTTCTGGCCACACCCAGGAGAACCGTCTGCTTTTGATTTCTCCCTTTACGGTTACATGGTAAATTTTCTTTCTCATTCTTCAGAGATGGAAACATTCAAATACTATATATATTTATATATATACACATTTATTATTTTTTTTTTCACTGCTCATCATGTTGCTTGTTATTTATTGCAGAATCTGAGGCCAGACTAAAAGGGTGGCAGTTACTCGGTCTCTTCAGGCCCTTTGAATAAACCTTTGGGTAAAAAGGGGTTAGTCTGGCACTGCAAATTTCTCATGGATCCTAAAAATGTTTGCTGGGGTTATTTAGTATTCACTGAAGCTTAGGCTTATCTTCTGCTAGGGATAAGTTCCTGGCAGTTGCTGGTGGAGAGGAATTGTTGAAAAATTCAGCCATGTTATGATAACAACCTTATTAAAACCAAGTGATTTGTATAATCAAATTTTAGAAACCTGAAGTCTTTTTTTTTTTACCCAGGATTATATCTGATTGTGCCTTGCCTTCCTCTGGCTCCATACCTACTACTGTGGAGCAAACCAGTACCTGCTATAAAGCCAAGCTAGGAAATATTGGACATCTGCCACATCTTTTTTATTTTCTTTCCTTTTTTTTTTTTTTCAAGGGCAAGATAACCTTGGGAGGGAAAACTGAGAACTGTTTATTGTATATGTATTTAGGTACAAATTAATCCCTATTCTTTACAGGTCATCTGTGAGAAGGAATTAAAATTATATGTATGTGCTTTTTTTCTCTCCCACATAAAAAATATGTGTATATATTTGCTAGGTTTTAAACTTAGAAATAATGAAAATGTTAAGCATGGCTCACCTATTTTTCCTGATGAAAATTTGAATGTCCAAGAGATGCATTAAGAAGACAATCCAAGAGGGTACAAATACTGACTCTGCCATAGTCAACCATGTAAAGCGTTAATTCAGCATTCACATTAAATGGTTCTCAACAAAGAGAGTTGCACAAGCGAAGGACTGATCTGTCAACAAAACAAAAGTCATGGTTAATTAGTTATGTTGTTCAGAATCGGATCAATTCTGTTTTAATTCACATTGTTAATTATTTTCATATAGTCTGCATGTGGATTGTACCTACCTTGAGTTAACTTATTAAAAATTGAGAGAATTCCTAACCGTTTTAAAGATCTTTAATGATAATGTGGTTTTTAAAATCCCGTACAGACTTCACTAATTGCAAACAAATGTGAATTAAAATAGTCTTAGTTTGGTTCTAGCCTGCACAGATTAATGTCTAAAACATTACCTTCCCTCCCCTCTGCTCTCCAGCTCTCAGTGCACATCATCACTGAAGACATAAATTTCGTTTGGTCTCCACAGGCTTGTCTAGAACAAACAGAAATTTTAATGTAAAAAGAGAAGAGGGAAATAGAGATTCCTGTTGCAGTCTTTACCTCCCCCAACCTTTTAAAGCTGCTTTTTCCCCATTATACAGAACCAGAGGGAAAAGTATTGCTCTATTTCTTAGTCTTGCCTTTCTCTGTAGGGGCTCTTTGAAGCAAGACACGATACCCTGTCCCTTTATAATCAGCTTTGCTATTACACCCCCTGCACCCCTCCTGATTCCCTGCAACATATTTAAAAGTTATATGTGGTTGGGCTGTTTTATTAGCCTTGTTCTCTTAGGGTTTCAATTTTAATTCATTTAAACAAAAAACTTTTATGCTATTCTGAAAAAGGCATCAGTTCGTTATTTATGTAGCCTTTTATTTACAGCTGGAGAAATGAAATTATCTGAAGCTTTAGCTTATTGGGTAGGAGCCCAAAGGAGCACTCTTGTTGATCTCAACATTGCAGTACTTGGCTGAGTTCTTTTATTATTGCTGTTCAGGGTGGGGGGAAAGGAAAAAAAACCTCTGCATTTTACGATGTGTAACAGTTTTGTGCTGGAAACCTCACTGTGGATGATAAAGGCCTGCATGTGTAAACAGCTTGGGCTTTTTAAGATTAGTGTTGTAAAGAGCTTTAAAAAACACCTGAAGAATGATGGCTTGCTTGTGTCTTGTTGCTAACAACGTTTAGAAATCAAGGTGCTTTTTTTGGGAGGGAAAGGGATGCAGGCCATACATCTTGACCCCGAGCTGCATGGAGAGGGCTGTGAGGCCTGCATGCCATTTCCCTGACATGGCATCGCTCTAGATCACTCGCATCACCTCCCTCTCCAGTTAATATCAGGAGTTTCCATTGTATCAAACGCAAGCTTTGTTCTTCCTGCTTCTGAGGGCATCAGAGCTAGCAGAGATTACTCTCTGTACATTAAACTGGTATTTGCTTTATACCGTGCTGCAGGAGTCCGTTACTCCTGTCCTTAAGATACCGAATGCAACAACGTTGTTTTTTTGTTTGGCCCTGCTCTCTGTAGTGGCATGAAGAGTATATCATTGCAGTCCTCTGTAGTAAGATACCATTTGTTCATCTTAATACCCTTAGCCCCATTGGCTCTGTTTTCATGCCTGCACTCGTCTCTGTGGAAGAAAGCATGATCTCTTACCTGCCCCGTTGTATGACTGCATGAGTTGGCAGCAGCGAGAGCATGGAGCGCAGGCGCATTGCATGTGCCTTCATGGATGCGGTAAACCTAAATTTGTCTAACTAAAGGGACATTTTAGTAGTCCTTGAGCCTTTGTGGTTGCTCCACATGAATTTTTCTCAGGCTTTGTGGTCTGACTAGGCAGAGATTTGTTACCATCCACAGCACAGAGGTTGCCATCTCAGAACAAAGCCAAGTAAGGCGAGCAGCAGGGTGAGAAGGAGGGAGCAGTAGGTCTGTGGTGTCAGACAAAGCGTGCCTTTACTTGTGAATCGGTATAACCAAGTCCAGCACAGTACTTGGATAGGAAGACTTTGAACTTAGAATATGTGATCCTCTAAATCTTCATGTTAAGTAATGTTCATTTGATGGTGCCACCTAGAAGCCCTGCTTGCTTTCAGGGCCCCATGCGTTATTAGGGGAGTTACGGGCATAGGAGTAGACATCAGCTGTGCCCAGAAGAGCTTACAAGGGATGCTTTACAAACAGCCCTTCCTCTCAGCAGTTTTCAAAGGTAGGTAATTATTACTGTCTCCATTTTACAGGTGGGAAAAGCAAGGTTCAGTGTTTGATTTGCCAAAAGCTTCGCAGAGTTCCTGGTGCCAGGCATGAACTCCGATCGCTGCTTGCTCTTGTAGCAGTTTCTCAAGAGAACCAAGTGCTGCTCAGTGTTGATGTCCTGTACTGTGGCTGGAGTGGGTGGGGGGTCCTGCAGAGCATGTGTGTTAATTTGCAGAGGGGAGAGAAGCCCATGTGGACTTGACCAGCTTGCCTATGAGGTGTTTCTAAACAAACAAACCAAACAAACCCAAAAATTGTCTCGAGTAACTTTGTACTTCTTTTTTGGTCTGGCCTCAATTGCTTTTATGTTTTCTTTTTATTTTTTTAATTACTCTTATTATTCTTATTATGATTACAGTTCCTTTATTTTATTGAATTTAATTTCATTTATGAAACATGCATGAACCAACAATGTGACTCTAGGAGGTTATTGCTGAGTTGTGCTGATGTTGATTTCATACTGTGATATTTTTTCTCTATTTACCTAGAGATCAGTATTTCAATATATAACGATGTGCATGTTTTCCCCCCTTCTCCCGCTGCATGCAGGGATTCGGGTTCGTAACTTTCGAGAATAGTGCTGATGCAGACAGGGCCAGGGAGAAATTACACGGCACCGTGGTAGAGGGCCGTAAAATCGAGGTGCATGTCTTCAGTAATTCAATTTCTTCTTTATATTTATTCTTTTGATTTCTTTTTGTGTCTTGCCTCACTTATTTCACATTTGGATCCCAGTCTCGTGTGTGTGTGTGTGTTTGTGTCTGTGTCCTTCACCTCCCTGCACTGAAATGTATAAAGGTTTACACCCCTTACAGAGTATTTTTATTGTTGTTTTGGGTATTTTTTTCTTTTCTTTCTTCTTTTATTAAGTTTTTTTCCCGCCCACTCCAAATTTTTGCCCTTCTGCTGTCTTGATTTTTTCCTTTGCTTCAGTTTGCGAGGCTCCGATTTCCTGTTACCAGGCCTGAACAAAACTAACTGAAAAAGAGTACTGTCCGATTTCTAACTTTGTGTTCAAAAAAGAAAAGCAGGGGGCCAGCCAGTATCCTCTCTTTCCTCCGAGGCCAGTTCTCCTCCACGCAAGTGTGAGATGATGCCTGTGGTGGGAGGGAGGGGAGACATGAGGCAGAAGCCTCGAGTGGGCTGTGCTATACACACCTGCCCATGGTCAAGGGTTGGCTCGGTGAAAGCTAATCCTTAAATTTTCTAGCTCTCACTGCTGGGAAGTGAAGGGTTAATGTTGGCTGGCCAGCATGGCCATATATTGGGTGTGCCTGGTGTTGACCAGTTTGGTGTCCCACTGTGGTGAAGGCTAACTGGCGTCTTCCCTCTCTCCCTCTTTCTTTAAAAAAAAACAAAAACAAAAACAAAAACAACAACAACAAAAAAAAAGAAAAACAGAAAGTACAAATATTAAAACAAAAAAGCCGCCGTTTTTGAGTAAGATGTCTGCATATTTTGCTTTTTTTTTGTTTTGTTTTTTTTATTTCCCTTTTCGATGGTTTAGCGTTTAGGGCCCTTCACTTGACTCACTCTAATGGTAACTATACACAATGCTGGCGATGGTACGAGTTGGCGGTAAGTGAAACAAAAGCGCTAGAGAAGAAGCTTTTTTTTTTTTTTAATTTTTCTTAAAATTACAAAAAAAAAGAAAATTAAATAAGAAAGAAAAAATCCATCTGCCATCTCACATTAACACTACGAAATGTGATTTGACTTGTTGTCCCCACCCACCTCCTTCCCCCTTCTTCCCCTTTTATTTTCAATGCTGTTGAGTAATGCCGCCTGGACTTTGGATGTACATATCGTTTTGTAGCAGTCTGAGCTGTTTGATTACTGACTTCATGGTGATTTCCCCTTGCACATCTTACTCAGAGTTACTGAACTCCAGTTTGGCTGGTTTTTATTAATGCACCCATTTTCTCTTCTCTCTCTCCTGTCCCTTCTTTCTGCTGCTCTCTCTTTGAGACCTGTTTGTAGCTGTTACTGTTTGTTTTCTCTCATTTTCTTTCTCTCTCTCCCCCCTTCTCTGGTTTATTTCTTTACTCTGCTAAATGCAGCTGTTGGTCTCTTTGCTGACTGGTGGTTTCTGATCAGTTCTGGCAATTTTTCCTTTTAAGTGCTTGTGTTGCACTTTGCTGTAGCAGCTGATTTCAGGCACTCGCTCCATCTTAATGATTGTCTGTGAGACCCTATCTCCTCCCTCCTCCCCTCCCCACCCTCTGAATCAATTGTGGTTTGTTTTTTTTCCTTTCTTTTATCTGTGTGTGTTTAACTGCATGCTCTCAGTCTCATCATTGTTGTTTCCCATTCTTTCTTTTTAAATGTGTAATGTTTCTATTGTTTTGGGGCTGAAACGAGAGTAAATGTAGCTCCAGACTCCCTACCCTGCATACACTCACCATCCGTACATCTCGAGGGCCCGAGGCAGCTTTTATTTTTATATACTTTTTTTTCTTCTTTACCCTGGCCTCAATTCCCATTTGGCATGGGTTTTGGTAAATTATTGATGTTTTACGAAGATTTCACCCTCCTTGCAAGAACTTTGAGGCTGTCTGACATGGGGCTGCAGTAACTTGGCTTCCAAACTGGTCCATCTTTTCTTTATCAGCACCATTTCTGTGGTAACACCCCACTTGCTTGAGCAATCAAACCGCTTGGAACTATGCAGAGCTCTGTAAAGAGGGTGAAGAGCACAATAAAACCAAAAAAAGTCCCAGGTCTACTGCTGAGTATTTCTTCTTTTTGCTCCATGAGATTTGTGACAAGGAAAAAAAATGATCTGGAAAAAGATTTGAAAATGATGAGGAGGAAATCGATGAAATTAGACCATCAAAACTCTTGGTGGCAGTCCAGAAATCTCCTCAAGCTTTGGGAGTTCAAATCTAAAGCTGGCGGACTCCAGGCTACCTTTTTATATCTATAAAGTATGACTGCCAGCAGCGTGCCAGGCCCTAATCCCGACAGTGAGGTGAGAAACAAATCAGCCTGTGCATCACCTGGTTCAGCTCCCATGCCCTGGGCTGCAGAAACAGAACCTGGGCAAAACCTCCAGAGTTTTGTCCTGTCAATCCATGAGCTGAAAATAAAGCACGTGCCGAGAGGTGGCAGGAAGGCGGAGAATCTGCACTTTACTCTCGTTGGCCTTTTGTTTAATGCATAATTTTAAAGTGCCATGTTTAGTTGTAACTTTTATAATTAAATGACAACTGTTAAAAGTAATTTAAAGATTGCATTCTTGTAAAATTAGTTGTTTAATTTTTTTTTGCTCAGAAAAGTATAGAGTGTGTGTGTGTGAGCGCGCGCGCGTGCGTGCGTGTGTGTGTGTGTGGTATCTGAGAGTTTTCCACCGTTTTCCCTAACGTCCTGTGCTTCCTTCCCTCTCCTCCCCCTCCCCTTTCTTACTCCTAGGTTAACAACGCCACTGCGCGAGTGATGACCAACAAGAAGATGGTCACACCTTACGCAAATGGTAAGAGAGACTGTTTGTACTAACAATGAGCTGAAAGGTTTGGAGAAAGTCAAAAGGGAAAAGTCATGACTTCTCCTCAGGACTTAAAAACAGCCAAAAGAAGAAAACAAAACCCCACAAACCTTAATTTATAGCATTATTCTTTAGTATAACCCTTAAGCATTTATGGAGGAGTATCGTTTTACACATGGAAAAGTGGGGACAGAGAGTAGTGCCCAACAGGGCCAAGCTGGGTAAAGCAGCCGAGGACTGATGGGTTCCCTGCCAACTGCTGCAAGCAGATGCTGAACAGTGGGATGTGCAGTACTCCTGAGTCACATTGCTGTCACATGGATGCCCAAATATGAATGCAGAAGTATAACTTAAGAACATAATTGGATGTATCTCAGTTTAGGTTCTAACTGTGAAAGTACTGCTGTCCCCAAGCAGCCGGGAAAACAGAGGCGTTGCGCTGCTTGTTTGCTCACTTTTTGTTACAGACTGTGCCTGTGTTCATTAATTTTCCAGTGAACCTGAACAGAGAAAGACCAAGTTGTTTGGGTAATGAAGAATCCCGTTTCATTGGGATATCTTGGTTCTTCTGTCCGTGCAGTAGTTTTATTGCATAGGCACATATAGTATAAAAAGTCGTTTTTCTCCTGACAGAACTGAATGCCGCTTTGATAAAGATTTTGAGTCTGAGTCTTTGTCAGAAGGCAGGATTTTGTCTGAAACAGGCAGAAAAATTCTTCTTGGTGTGAAAATGTTCCCAAATAGGTCCAACAAGGCAGGAAGATGCATATAGGTAGTTGCTGGTGTAAGAATCCTTTTTGATTAGAACGTAAGACTTGGAAGTCAGAAGATATTAATTGTATTTGTCACTCTGCTGCTGACTTGTGTGGCTCTTGGCAAATCAGTCTCTTTTTGATTACAGAACTGAGGAAACAGAGGAGGGCAGAAAGGCTGTGGTTCTGAGTCTCTGTGTCTGAAAGGAACCAGGAGATTTTGTGGCAAAAGGCAATGCAGCCGTGTTATGTTGTCCAGAAAACAGGGGCAGAAAATGCGTATGGTGAATTTGAGGGTTGACCCCAGTCCCCTCATTGCCACCACTCCGAGTATTTTGCCATCGAGGTGGGCGGCGCGGTGGTGGAGTTCCCAGTCTTGCGGAGGGAAGCATGCATTGCACCTCTCGTTGATGCTCTGCCAGCAGATGAGGGGGTGGCGTTGGTGGGCTGCAGTTCACAAAGTTGTCGCTGTGGTTTCTAGGCTGGTTAGAGGTGTTAAAGCGCAGTAAGCGCATCAGTGCTCCAAGACAGTGGAAGAGTATGGATTTATTTAAATAAAAACAACTATGTGGTTGCTAGATGAACAGCCGAGATTTTTCCTGAAAGGAATGTTTAGTGGAAGCCAGTCCAGATCATGATGTTAGCTTTACACCACTTTCTTACCTCCCCACATAAAATGGGGGGACGACAGATGTGTTTCTAGATCTGTCTGGGAAATGCGTTCGTCCTCATACCTCAGTGATGACTTCTTTAAGCGCTATTTTCTTGTAGGTTTTATGCTGATGATTTGCAGTTCTTGCCAGTTATCCAGATGATATTACAATAAATTCTCTGGAAAGGCTTTCACCTGAAAAGCAGCATAAAGAAGACAGGAAGTACAAAAATAACACAGAGAGGAGAAAATGTGAGATGAATAGACTGAATTGCTTTTCTGCGCCATAGTCGTACAATTCAGTTGGTAAGGAAATCTCAGTCGCTGTCGCTTTTTAGCAGATCTCTGGCAAACAAGACAGGAAGGTGTTTTTGAGAATTTAAGGCTGTATATTGACTGGGATGATAGGGAGGGATAAGGCCGGTGACTTTAGAGAGGTTTTGGATCCGTGGTGCTCCCAGTTGAAAGCAGGGAGGAGCTGGCAGCAGGGTTCATGCAGAGAACGCAGGGTCACAGGGTGCTGGTGGCGAATATGCATATAAGGTAGTTGGCATTCCCTCAGTGGCACCCCTGCTGTGCTCAGGATCAGCTGATGTTTTGCTGTTCCCTCTGACACAGCGACCTGTGCCTAGAACTTGACATTAGAAAAAGGCAGTTGGCCTCCATCTACACCAAGGAGGATTGAGGCGAAGCAGAATTTGGCAAGAGCTGTGCATGTGAAGCTGGGGTGCACGCAAGAGACCGCTCCCCCTACCCACGCTGCCCGCTCCTTCTCTTGGTGTAGATTTTGGCATTCACTGCAGTCTTTGTTGTTTCAGGTTGGAAGTTGAGTCCTGTGGTTGGAGCGGTGTACGGCCCTGAGTTATATGCAGGTAGAGCTTAAGTAGACACTTCCACTTCTGCCATTTAACTGCAGTGGTGTTTGTTTATGTTTTCAATCTGCTGTTTCTTTATAACCTTTTTACGTTTGTTTTTGTTTCTGTTTTTTGTTGTTTTTTTATTATTTTTAAAATTAAATTAGCGTCCAGCTTTCAAGCAGATGTCTCGCTGGGCAATGACGCCGCAGTGCCCCTGTCAGGAAGGGGGGGTATTAACACTTACATTCCTTTAATCAGTAAGTAGCCCCCGTTGGCCCCATATTGTTACGGTGCTTGAGTTAATGATGACCTGTTGCCCTTCTTCTCTCCAGTCTGTATAATATATACTTGAAAGGATGGGTCTCACTGGAAATGAGTTTACCTCGAGCCAAAGTATACTGTGCAGTGGCAGTAACTTGTTCATCTGCGGTGTGTTTCTTTCTGTACTGGCAAATGGGTCCTTCTGAGCGATGAGGAGGCTGCAAAACAAGGGGGAGGGTGTGTGTGAGGAACAGCCCCTTCCCTTGCCCCCCTCCCCCTTTTGAAATCAAAGAAACCAAACAGACAAATCCCTAAAGTACATATTATACAAGCTGCTAAACCGCGAGTCTGCAGGGCCCCCAGTGGCATGCACCTGGACGCACGTTGGGTTGGGTTTGAGCCCTGAGACTCCTTCCCTCTCGGTATCTGTTTATTACGTGTTTGCAGATGCCTCTGAGGCTTTACATCACTTCATCACGAGCCAGTTTACTCCAGCGTAAAGCGCAGTAAAGCAGGCCCCACTATACAAGGAGCCAGTTATTGGTCACGCTTGTTAAATGAAGGTGGGCTCTCAGTAAACTGGCACTTTATGGGAAATTGCTGCTGCTGTTATATGGGCTATCTTGTCTTTCAGGCTTTAAAATGAACATACAGAGGATTGGGTGGCAAAGAGTGGGAGGGGAGAGGAGGGAAGAGACTGATGTAAGTTGGTTGACTTTAAGGGCCTCTTGACAAATTATTTTAAAGAGCCTCTGCAGTTTTGGAAGAGCCGCCTGCTATATTGATAGTAGCTCTCTGCGCTTCTCGGACTCTAACCAGACTGCATGGCAGTGTCAAAAGGCGGGGGGATTCCTACCCTGTTTGTGGTGGGTGAGGCATGCTGAAGTATTAACCTCTTGCATGCCAAACCTCTCTGCAGCCCCTCTTCCCCCAAAGGCCATGGTGTAGCAGGAAGTATGTATCGAATGCTTGCTGGGTTTTATAAGCATGCCCCTTTGCAGGACTGATGCAAAAATGTCCCACCGCTGTGGAGCTATTGTGTCACTTTGTTTGAAGCAGACAGCTGTTCTCTGGGCGGGAGCTCGGATCCTTTTCACTCTCCACCTTGTCTGTCTTTGCAGTTCCAGGCTTCCCCTATCCAACTGCAGCCACCACAGCAGCCGCGTTTCGGGGAGCCCATCTGAGGGGCCGAGGAAGGACAGTGTATGGGGCAGTCCGGGCAGTACCTCCCACAGCCATCCCTGCCTACCCAGGGTAAGCACTGGTCACAAGAGCAGAGTGCTCTGCACAACTGTGTCAAATAGCTAATCGGTTAACCAAAACATAACTAAAATTGTCTGGATGGTGAGAGTCAGGATATTCTAGTGCCAGAGCATTCTGCACACGATGGCATCCAGCGGGGGCAAATCTAAATTTTTTTTTCCATGTTACGTTCTTGACTGAAACAATTTTCAGTTAAAATGCTGATGGGTTCCTTCTCATAATTTCTCAATTTGTCTACGTGTTGTTCGTCATCCATTGACCCCAATATGTTATAGTGCTGCTGAGAAGGACGCAAAGAGAGAAGGTCTAAAATTTCAGAAAAGGTTCTGCTCTTTGCACTCCATTTGTGTTTTCATATCCAGGAATGAGGAGTATTATCCATTACCTTCATGCCTCACCATCTGGCAGTAGGACACAGAAGAGCCAGTTACCCACAATGGATTTGCTTTCTTTGTTGGAGACGGTTTAAAAAGGTTTAAAACAAAGATTAATCAAGTCCATTAATTTGAAGTTGGGAGTGTTTGGGATATAGGGAGAACGAAAGTGCAGTGTTCTTCTAGCTGTTTTATGAAGCAATGGTGAATGCGTGGCCTTAGCATTCTTTGCCCTCTGACTTTTCACTAGTAATGCAGTGGAATAGATGCTGTTACAAAAGAGTATTTCGTTGTTGAAAGGTACAGGGAGCTAGGTTTGTATGCGAGTTCTGTTTTGAGCTTTTGTTTGTTTAAGTGTGATAGAATGACATAATTTGGCAAATCCCTTGCAGAGTTTCCTTTTTTTTTTTTCTGATTTTGAGGATGGTTTGTTCATATTGCCTGTCTCTGAAATTTTGCTTGCCATATTTTCCAGGTAGTGTTCTCAGAAAGAATAGGAGTAGGAATTAATCCTCCAACAGAGAGAAGTGGACAGACCCTCTTTTTCCTTTAGACTAACCCCAAAAGGGAAGAAAATAAATTAGAAATCTTCTATTAAAAAGGAAGGTGGAAGGTACACATATCAGTGCAAGGAGCTGGCCTGATATATGCTGGATAAGCTTGCAACACCTTCTGTAGCAGATTAAATGGGGAGAGCTACTGTGGCCCTTTGTTTATTAGAGTCCAGTATGATATTTAAAGTAGAGCTCAAGGAAGCAAGCTGCAGTGGTCACGTATCTGTCTAGCTTTGCTTTCTGGCAAATCTGGTAATGTTTGTATTTAATTCGTTGGAAGACTTTAAACAAAACCTCTTGTCTGAACACACTGGCCTTCCAAACAGAGTGTTACTTCTGAGATTTCAGATCCATCTCTTTTTTGCCACCGCTCTTAGTTCATATTCTGTATCCTCTGACCATAGCCTCTGACTTGCAGCTTGGCCTTCAGTTGCTCTAGAAATGACCCAGTCGGGTTTTATTAAGAAATGCACCACAGTGAAACAGAGAAGCAAAGCTGAGCTAACTGCTGCCTTCTAGCAGAATATGAAATGCTTGTGCTGAGGAGGAGGGATGTGCTCTTCATCCCTGGGAGTAACAGCTGGAGCATTCCTAGCAAGAGGCTGTCACGAGCGGCAGGCGCGCTGGGAGGGACTCTAGGCTTGTTTTAGATGTAACTCCAGCCTGAGTCCTGTATAAAGAGTTTATTTTCCATTTGAAATATGGGCCAGGCTCCAATAACTATCCCTTCCAAATACTGTCTCATGACTGTGTTTGCTTATGTTATGTTGAGTTTGTCTGACCCTGCTGACTTGATTTCACGTCTTCATGGGCAGTGTACTACCCAGTAAACATTTGCAGGACAGCAGTAAACAAGGCAGGTTCACAAATGTCCCAGAACTGTCCCTAGACGCAAGCACTGTGGGATGTAATTAAGCAGTTCTGGTGTTTATTGTCATCACAGTCTGAATCTCTGCAAGGCATTTTGTAGAGGGAATTTGATTCCACATGGAATAATATAAAATGTGCTGTTCAGTTCCATGTTGCAGTAACCTGTTGGACAGCCACTGCTCCATGTGGGCTCTGTTTACCTCCATGGAGGCAGGGATAGGCACACATTTCTGACACCTTACACTGCATCAGTTGCTTTCCTCCTGGCCAGTGGAAAGATGACACTATCAGATCAGTCACACATGAGTGATCAAAAAGTAGTGACTAACATGGAAGAAGAAAAGTAAGCTGCAAGTTAAACTTGGTAGAAGGAATTGGTTTTCATGAAACTCAGTAGTGGTGAAGTTTTAAGTTACCAAACTTAATGGTATTGCTGCATTTGAGAGCTTAGCAGAATTTTAAAAATATCGAATGTAGCTTAATAAAAGCTCATTGGAATTGCCATACTGGATCAGACCTGAGGGCCATTCAGGTCTGAGTGAATTTTGACAGTGTCTAGTGCTAGATACTCCAGAGGAAGGTGCAAGCAATTATGTCATTCTTAATAGTTTTAACACTTATTTCAGGAACTCACTTTGAGTTTAAGTCTTAGTTTAAGACTTACTAATGCATATGTGGAATGTACATCCTTAAATATGGACATGGACATTTATCCAGGGAAGGCTATTCGTACCTTAGAAAGCAGTTGCTCAGACTACTGGAGAGGATGCTAGTCAGTCACCTCAGCCTGACCTCGGAGAACAAATGCAACCTTTAATTTATAACCAAGGCAGAATTCAATAGAAGCCAGGAGACATTATAACCTCTGATATATAGCATGAGTAAAACCTGTACTGCAATATTGCCCTGATTTGTAGTGGCCATGCTTTCTAAGCAAGAATGCTGACAAATTACACTTCAGACCAGAAGCTGTGAGGATTAATTCAGTCTGAAAAAAACATACCTACTGTAAAACGCTCAAAACTAAATCAGGTTGACCAGTTTTATTTCTCAGATTGCAGGTTAGGCATTGACTTGTTCATGGTCATTAAGTATCTACATGAAGAGTAGGCTTGCCATAGTAAATAATAATTTAGTCTGGGAGTGTAAATATGTAGAGGATTCAGTGGCTCGAAGCCAAAAGTAGGTAAAAGTCAGACTAGATATAAGGCAGTTGGGAGCTTTGGGAGTTTGGAGTGGTTTTTTGCTTCCTTTTACAACAAAGTCAACTGTTGGTACACCTAAATGATATGATGGCTGCTTTACAAAACCAGCATATTTCTTTTTCTCATGGGCATGTTTTTAGCTCAGCTAGTGGGCTTATTGCAGATGCCACTGAGATTTGATGGGCTGCTGGGCTGCTTTATGCTTCTGGTCAGTCTGCATAACCAGAATGGTCTCTGTGGTTCTCAAATGAAGGAATTGTCTCAGTTTTTGCTAGCATTAAGAATGACAAATACGGATATTCTAGCACATAAAAAAACCTTGCTAAATTTCAGCCCTGGCAGTCAAGTCCCAACTGAAGGGGAGGCGGAGGACGCCTGTGTGCTTTGTTGTTTGGACTCGGGAAGTCTTCCTCTTACCTGTTTCTAGTGCTCCTTGCAGTTTTCTCTGGAGAGCTGAGGCTGTCAGCATCTCTAAGTTACAGGAATAGTGGCCTGATCCAATGTGGTAATGTTCATATTCATCCAACTGATTGTGTTCGGAATAACTGTTAAAACTGCTAACTTGTTCATAAACCAACAGTCACTTCCTCTGTCATGCGTTTGCCTTTCCTGCAGGAGCAGGTGGAGTACCACTGCTAAAACACTCCTGGTCCTAGATAGAGAACCCAGCAATGTAAGTCACTGCCCCAGGAGCCAAATTCTTTGTTATGTGGTTGTACAAATTTAGCTTCAACAAACATGATCTTATGGCCTGCTTCTCCCTGCTGAAGTGGCTCCCCTCTTACTCTAACAAGGGTCTCTATCTTCACATCTGCTCCCAACGCTCTTGGAGTTCATAGTAGCTTTGTCCAGTGGGAATGGAATGTACTTTTCCTGGGGAAGACAGCAAGACTAAATTATTCAAGCAGTAGCTAACACTGCAACAAATTATTTTTTTTTTTATTTTTTTAGTAATAGCATGCAGAATTTTGGCAAGATCTGCTGGGCTTTTTTTGTGTGTGCGTGCCTTACAATAGGTGGGTGTCTGAGGGTGGCAGGCTCTCGGCAGCATTTCACATTCCATCTTATGAGTTAAAAAAATGATAATCGAGAGAAAACCTAGTGTTTCATACCTCTTCCTTCCTCAGTGCTACTGGTAAGTCATGCACATCAGATCCATGAACATCACAGATGGTGGGGCTAATGGTTTTTATAGCCTTAAGCAAGTTTGTGCAGAGCTATTCAGAGGACAGAGCAGGAGGGAATTCCTCAGTATAAAGCACACGCTGAACTCAGACGGGTGGGGGGCATCCCCTCTCTTCCTTCCTCATCCTTTCCCGACCCCTGTCCCAAAAGTGAGCTGCGTAGTTTTATGCCAGCGAATGTTCTGGTAAGAGTGGCTCTTTGGGAACCCCAGGCTCTGGTTTGACAGTTTCCTTGCTCGAAGTTCTGAGAGAAAGAAAACTATGGCTTAAAGCAGACAAAACACCAGCCTATGGAAACCCTTCCAGTTGCTCCTCTTTGCTATGGAATAGGTTGTTACTACCAGGGACTCCCACTGCACCTCTCAATTCTTGGACCTTGGACCAGTCACCTAACCTTTTTAGCTCATTATCTCTGCTTGTGAAAGCAATGCATTGTGGGTATTTTTGGTTTTTTCTTTTTAATTACATTTCTCTGTGTTTACTTTGATCAGAATTGATTGACTTGTTTTCCTGAGGTGTTGCATCGGTTCTTTAAGATGCTGAATAATAATACTTTGCATGCTTGTGTGATCAGCCAAATCTTATCGCATGTCTAATGTGCAGGGTAAAAGCAGGTGATGTATGGATGTCAGAAACAAAGTCATGCAGCCCTGTGAAGCTCCAAATACGTAATCATACACAACTCTTTGAAACGTGCCTCTGACATAGGTGACTCCAGCCCCTGTGGGATGTCTTCTGAAGGGCTCTTTGATTTCACAAGCCCACTTCACGAAGCCAATGTTTCCACGTGTTTAGGGGGTAACTAAAACAATTCCAGGAGAATAACCAGAGTGGAGGTTTCTAAACCCTTATTTCTCTTCTTCAGGACATCAGATCTTTTTGAGTCTATTTTTATTGTACAAGATGGTGGTTCCCCTCCCTTTCTCCTTCGCATACTGTCTCCCCCTCTGCCCGCCCCTTCTCCCTTTGCATGCCATGAAGATGACTTGGAGCCGTCTAGCGTGCGTGCGCACACACATTCTCTCGCTGATTTGCTCCTGCCAAAAGCCCAGGTTGTGGATTCATACATCACCTGCCTGTGTAAAACGCATGTGCATGCTGCCGTCCTCAATAACCGGAATGTGTTTTCTGTTCTTTTGTTTTTTGTTTTGTTTTTTTGTTTTGTTTTGTTTTTGTGTGGATTTTCTGCAGTGTGGTTTACCAGGACGGATTTTACGGTGCTGACCTCTATGTAAGTACACACACCGGAGCCTTCTTGTCCCCAACCCCTGACAAGCCAGCCTTTTTTTTTTTTTTTTCTTTTGGTTTGTTGGTTTGGTTTGGTTTGGTTTTTTTAAAATATCATTTACTTTATTTTTCTTCTTCCTTGTGGATATATATATTTATATATTTAGGAATGCAAGCATGCTTCTCTGTCACTGCGCTTGCCCCTGGGTGCAAGACCTAAGCCTTTGGGTTTCCTGATCATTGCCAGGGTCAGTTTACTGGGTGTCCTGTCCCCCACATGCCACTGCTACTAATCAACCTGAGAGATGATTAACGAATCAAAATTTCTCTCAACACTTCTCTCGTTTACATAATTTGGATATAAAAATAACAGGACTGGTTTAGCCTCAGACCTTCCCTTTCCTTCTCCCCTTCCGCCCTCCCCTTTCTCTCCCCTCCTGGGGCCCTTTCAGGTTTGATTTGTGCAGCCCACACTAAGCTGAGCGAGCTGTATGTTTAAAAATGTTCATGTGCCACTGGGATGTGGAGATTATCCCTTTGGGGAAGATACTGGGACTGATTAAAAATGGAGATCGAGATGCTAGAGTGAAAACTGACATCTCATTTTGCTGGTAGAAATGGTACCTAAATAGGCTAGATTCTCTCGCCTCTTTGGGGAGTTGTGAAGTACAAATATGCGGAAATGTTCAGTTAGAGGAGTCGGCAGCCTCCTCCTGTCTGGGAGTTAGCTCTGCTACCATGGGAGAGTTTGTCCTGTCATTGTCTTTGTCCTACCCAGCCAGTCTGCATCGCAAATCTCCAGGGCACCTGTGTATACACAGGTGGGTTGTGGATGGAGGGACTCTGGCCAGTGAGAAAAGTGGTTTCCCCTCTGATGGAGAGCTGTCACAGAGGTAGGACTATGCCTTTCAAAGCCAAAATGTTCAGGCTCACTACTGCCATTGCAACCTGTGGCCTGCCTAGATCCAGCAGAGTTTCTTTTTGTGGCATTGTAGGTAATAGCTCTGTGGAGCTGGGGAAGTTTTGTTTAGGGTTGTGGCCCCGTTGTCGGTATGGATTTTACATCCCTGCTCCTTCAAAGGTGCCACTCTTGATATTTATAAAGACTACCCTGGGCTTAGACTCAAAATAATGGATGGAATTAGCTTTTGGATTTTGTTGGCTTATATGGAGGGCCAAGTCTTGTAAAGGCACTTTCCCCAGCACAGTTACAGCAGTTGGAAGACGTGTTCTCTGAGCGTAGAGATTCTGGGTGCATTTCTTCATTCTTACATATGCTATCGTGTGCACAGTCCTTTTAAAATTGATCTGCCTAGTCAAGCATTCCTTTCTAAAACTGTGTCAAGGACTACAGAGGGCTCTGGGTTTTCCTGCCTCGCTCCTAAAACATCAGCTTTACAGACCACTGACTTTGCTGCAGCAAGTAAGCCAGCAAATGAGCAATGCTCAGTGCCTCTTACCTCAGGGTATGGCATATAGGAGGCTGGCACGTTGAAAGGAAAGACTGGCCAGGGTTACTGCCTAATTTTTTTGAGAAAGCTCCTTCAGAGCTTCCATTGAAAATTGGGGGGATAGGCTTATTCAGCATGTTTCAAGGACAGAGGCTTCAGTAATGAAGAATCCCCACAATTCCTTGGTGCTGCAGTGCAGTGGCATCACATAAGGCAAAACCAAGCTCCCAAGTCAGGTTAGAACTTTTAGGTGGACTTCTGATGACTTTGCTGTTGGTGACTCTGGTCTCTATGTCAGAAAGCAGGATGATAGAGGAGGGGTGGTGGTGCTTTTTCTTGTGTTATTGCTGCCTGTAGCCCTCCAATAGAGCTCAGGAAAAAGTTACCGTAATGCAAACATGAAGTTACTCTTCCAAAGGATTTGCTTGGCACTGATGGAATGATTACAGAGTCCCTGTGCCCCACTGACTTGTGCTTTTCACTGCAGTGCTTGCATCCCTCTGGTTGCTGTGAAAGGCTTGTCCAGATTTGGAAGAGATGGCAGAGAGTGCTTCAGTTAGGACTGGGGGCAAAGTTAAATTGAGGTTCCCTTAGGTCTTCTGAGTCTGTAGGGTTGTACCAAGGAAGGGTGGAAAGGAGCTGAGCTGGCAGGGAGTGGTTAGTGGTAGGTAAGACGAAGGGGAAGTGTCCCAAGTTTGGGCTGCTTTTTCTGCATACGTTTTATGCACAGATTTCTCATTCTCCTCCTCCTCCTCTTCCTCACTCCTTTCTTCTTTCCTGGGGCAACCATCCTGCTAGCCATTTCTTCTGTGAAGAAGGCATTCCATCTCTTGTTGGATGCATCCCACACTGGCAAGACACCTGAATTTGTAAAACAACCTGCCCCACGATGCAGAGGGCTTCATTTTGGATCATAAGAAAGGTTTATCTTTCTTCTACAATGGGGTCAATCTGGGCGGCGGGGGGGGAAACCCAAACAAGCCCACCTGTGCGAAGACCGCTCCTGCCTGTGAAAAGCGTGCTTGCATCCACTGGAAAGAAAAGGCTGGTGAGCCCTGCCGCGGGCTGTTTGTATGATTGTTTCTTTCCACAGCTGTGTTTTTTTGAACTGCTCTTCCTGTGTTCTGTTATAGAATAGTCTTACAGGAACCAATCATTAGCGCTAAAATACCTCAGGTAGGAGTGCCAGTGTGACCTGCCAACCGATCAGATTGTGGATTGCAGTGGAAAAAACTGAATTATACTAACCATTCCAGCACCACATTAGAGATGGGAACAGAGGCTTTTTTAGGGCAGCGCAGACTCACGTGTGATCCAAGCCCCCGCTGTAGCAGGGCGGCGCGTGTCCAGATTTCACACAGAGTGGCATTTCATAAAAAAAAAATAAATACTGTAAATTCAATGGAAGAGTTAACAAGGTCATGCTTGTCCCATTACCATGTAGAAGCACCTGCTGCAATGGACACTGTCACCTCTTTTAATTCATTCATGCTCATTCCTGGTGCACATATGCCACCCTTCTAATACAGAAGTACTGGGAACGGCTCTAGCCCTTTCTTCTTCTTAACTTCTGCTATAGGGCAGTTTTGGGGGTGGAGAGGACACATTTGAGATTTGGCAAATAAAAGATCCTAAAATTGAGCTCACTGTCTAAACCTGGCAGGTGGTCAAACGCGTGTAAGTGGTGCCATGAGTTACATGTTTCTCCAGGGGTGTGGGAACGCTCGTGTCTCAGTGGCATAAAGGCGCTTTGGAGTAAAGAGGGCCAGCAACACACTAAGGCAGCAAGGGAAAAAGAAAAGGGAGGCTTATGCCATAGGATACACTGACGTAGTAAGCTGTAGGTTTGGATTTCCTCATGTTCTCGTTGGATTGATCACCTAATACGGACTTGAAGAGTGGAAGAGAAGATGGACTTAACTTTGGGCTGAATTGTACAGTCTTAAAGTGCTCATTTATCTGTGTTAACGTGCTCAGTAATTGGAATGCTGCTTTAGTTGAGATTGCAGCTTCCTTTATATGTTGTTTTGCCATGTTTGTGTTATTTCAGAGAATATATGACAGCATTGAAAAAGCTATCATCTAATGTTAAAGAGAGAGTTAAAAAAAATATATATTTTCTTGCTTCATTGATGAGCCAAGGACGATAACATCACAGAAGAGTCATTTTAAATTTAGGGTTTTATGAATACCTGAGCAAATACGGTTGTTTGATAATTGAGAACTGTAGACTCAAGCACTACACATTCACATGGGGAAAGGGGTTTAGCACAGCTCCAGCAACACTGGCAGTTTATTCAGAGAAAGAGAACTTGAATTAAGATAAGCAACATTTAGGGTTGTGTTCATCTCTCTCACATGCTCCCCAGATAATCCAAAAGACTGTACCAGAAAGGAGCAGTCTTGATTTAGACAGCCCTTTTGGTTGTTCCTTACTGCCCAGTAAAAGTGCATGAGCCTTTTCCTTAGTTTCCCTATTTCCTGTCGAGGCAGTGTTTAAACCTTCCCTTTGGTAGAAATGTCTCCAACTTAAAATCTGCACAAGGAGCTGAGCCGCACTCATTTCTTTAGAGATGAGGCTAAAGATTTTTAAAAACTGAACCTAGATGGGTAAAGCTGTCCCTGTGGAGTCACTTCACTTAAATAGATGGAGTGGGAGTTTGCGTGGTTGTCCTGGGTTTCAGAGGCTACCATGCAATGGTGTCTTCTGTTTCTGTCTGGCTATGCCACTGGAGGAGGAGTGTGGTGCAGCTAACAAGGGCCTTCTTAAAAAAGTGTTATTTCTTTTATTGGGTAACACAATTGCTCATGTTTTTTAAAGATGCTCTACTCTCTTATAGTTTTTATATACTAGAATACCCAAAGTGAGTGGCATCAGAAATCACTAGGGGTGGTAGGACCACGTAGCTGTGGTTATGGATGAGCTCTGCATAGCAGTAAAGCTGTGTGTGAACAGGAGTAGCAGGAGCAAACAACTGGTGCACTGGACAAGCTGAGCAGGGCTTTAGATGCATTATGGAATTATAGGTGGGTCCTGGGCTCTGGAGAACAGGAGCATCAACTGGGTAAGGCAACCTGCACAGCATCTCCTTTGCTCTGTACTGGTCCCAGAGCCTGGTGAAAGCATTTAGTTGCAGCTTTTCCTCTTCTTTCCTTCACCCTGTTTTGGTGTATTTGGACCCGCTGGTCATGCTAAATACATCCCTGTGTCAGAAATCCCCCAGCTGTCCACACTCATTGCTCCTATGACAGGAATGTACCATGGCCATTTTAATCCCCGTTTTTGGTTTTATTTGAAGTACACACAAGTAGGATTTGCAGACCGCTTTGAACTGAGCGGGCCTGCCTGTGAGTGTGTACCTCTATCCTGTGACTTTTTTTTTTTTTTTAAATTAACAGTAGCTTCAATTTTGCATCAGTGCATGGTTAAAAAGCAATACACATGTCAGCTATTTCTTAACTTCATTTCTCCAATGAATTATTTCTCCTGTTTTTTTTTTTGTTTGTTGTGCAGTTGACTGAAGAAATGTTAACATCCCGCTCTAAATCTCTCAGTGGAGTCTCTGTTCCCTTCTCTGATATAACAGATGGGTTATTGCTTGTTATAATTATTAACATTGTGGTGTGGGACAGGGCTAGGGTGGGAGCCATTTTGGGGGGAGAGGGCGGGAGGCTGTCGTTGAGGTTGGAATGTTAACTCCAGTGGTGACTGACTGTTTCCGTAATAGCAGGTTGTTGTGGCTGCACGCTCTAGTACTTGAGGCTGTGTACTTCACTGAGCTTGTGGTAGAGCCTAGGGCGAACTGCTGTCCCAAGAGAATGCTGGGATGGATAGAACTAGCCAATATGAGTCTGAACGTGGTGACTTTGCTGGTTGTTCTAGCTCCAGATGTCAGCATGCTTAGTTTTTAATTTTGATTAATAAATGTTACGCCATTCCCCCTCCCACACCTGATTCCAACCCTTCTTTTCTTTTCTTCTTCTTTTTTTGGTTTTTTTTTTTAATTTGGTTTGGTTTGGTTTTGTTTTCCTTTACGAGAGACATGAGTTACAAGAGAATTACATGATAACCCTTTTTGGTTTCAAACTGCATCTCGCTGTCATGTTCAGAGCATGTACCAGGCTCCCTTGGAACGGCTTCTGAGCCGAAATGTGGCTGCCAAGTGTGGGGCAGAGTGGGAATTTGGGCACACGCTAAATCCAGCTGCCCTGAGGAAGGTTGTGCCAGGCCAAAATTCCTCGTACGCTGTGCCCAAGATACAGACCCCATCAAGAGTTCAGGAAGCTCATAAACATAAGGGAATACCACAGTGACATTGGCATGAAGCTTTGTCTTCATTTAGTGAGGTTGATAAAGGTTTGATTCTGATTAAGGCTGCACCTCATTCCTCTCATCTCCGTCATGTTTTGGAGGTGGAAGTAATGGTGGTGCAATGATAGCATGCCAAAACCAAGCTAAAATTCCTCAAACCGTCAATTCAAGGATTGAAACTGCTAGATGAGATTAAAAGGGCAAAATTGTAACATGCTATCCCTTTCAGGAAATGTCACATCTCAGAGGTACAGTTTTGTGTTGCTCTTTCTTCTGTTAACTAGAAGGTTGAAGAGGCTGCAAGCCCCTCTCTCCTCGGGAGTAGGAAAGGGTCTCCAGGCACATTTTGGATAGCATGTCTGCCTTCATGGGGCTAATGCAGGCCCCACAGAAGCCAACAAAATTAATTTAACATCATCACTTTTAATTTAAAAGCTACCTAGCCCAAAACTAAGCACTGCTGAGCAAACACACAGTCCTATAGTAGAGCTGATGTTGTGCCCTTTAGTTACATATACTCAAAGGATTTGTAGGGAAGGAGGAGTAGGGGTATGCTGAGCTGATTCTGGAGGTGAAGAGCATAAGTCTGCCTTCTGGTCCTTCAAACTCTGAAATGTCAATTGGAGGAGAGAAGAAAAAAAAAAAGCCAGAAGCAATCTGGAATATTGTGATGTTGTTTATGGCTCATTGTGTTTCTAGCAAATCAAAGCCATGGTTGATTTACCATTGCTCTCCACAGGTTAACGTAAATGTGTTCAGAAGCATACAGTAAAGAAAGCTCTAACCTGGGCTTCAGAGCCCGCTTTGCTGCCCACCATGCAACCTTTGCCCCTGGACCGAAAGGCAGCTGGCCTCTGTCCCTCACTGCTGCAGGGCGTGGAGAGACCCCAGCCTGACCCAGGGCTTCCTCTGGGTCAGGATTCACATTTCACCAGCCCAGCTGCAAGTACATTTTTAGTACCTACCTCTTATACGTGTAAGCATTTTAAAGACCTTTACTACAGGAAAGTGTAGCATGGGCAGAAACGTAGCAGCAATACAGGCTGCTTTCCCCTAACCTGTTTCCTTCTAACATGGAGGGAGGGGAGAATGGTCTGGCTGGTATCAATGTCGGTTTGCTTGTTGCAAGCCCCACAGCCACCGGGGACTCCTTTTCTGACCCTCTTTTCCTGGTTGCTTTTTGGCTGCTCTGGCTATTGAGACTTCTACCCACCTGCACCAAATGAATTTCTAGTCTTTGGGTTTCCCATGCTTAAAAATAAGAGAGAGAGAAGGAAAAAAGCAGGAATTTCTCTGAATGGTCCCCTTTCTAAAATACTTCACAGAAAATGCCTACCTCTGATTTCCCCAGTGTAAGAGGAAGGAGACATAAAAATTACATTGCATGCAAGACTTCAGCTCTCTTCTAGTTTCCAGTTCCTCCATGCCAAATTTAATTTCCTGCAGGGTTATAACCAAGCTCAGGCATGCTTTAGTTTATTCCTTCTGCTAAATGGGGTAATGGAAGAGTCTCCTTGGTCCTTCTGAGGAAAGGAATATGCATGAGTTAATGGGCGATGCTTGCGATAGACATGACATGGCAGCTGATGCAGTTTGAAACACTTCCTCTCCTTGTGATGTGTGTGACTTTTTTTTTTTAAATTTTTATTTTTTTATGCTCCGTGTGGGTGGACAGGTATCTGTAAAGTCAGTTCTCTTCTCTCCTCCAGGGTGGATATGCAGCCTACAGATATGCACAGCCTGCTACTGCAACAGCAGCCACAGCCGCTGCAGCCGCTGCAGCAGCTTACAGCGATGGGTATGTAAGGGGGAGGTGTCTGTGGGGGCTGGCTTGCTGTGCTCAGGGATTCAGGGCACACTGGTACTTCCCCCCCCCCCCCCCCTTTTTTTTTTTTTTTCCCCCTCCC